CGGCGTTTCCTTTTCGTCGATCGGACCTCCTGAACTTCGCTTTCCCAGCACTGTGGCAGTATCCCTCCTTATGTCCGACCGTACCACGATCACTGCATTTGTGGTTCTTAAACGAACAATCCCTGGCATAGTGATTAGCACCACAGAGCCAACAAACTGATTTGGGCCCACTCGCGTTGCTTCTGGAATCAAAGCCGTACTTCGAGCCCTGCTTCGGCTGACGTGCTGGGAACCTTCCAGGATGCTGTCTGGATTTCAGCGCTTTCACACAGCCAGTCTGATACTCGATCATTGCTGCCTCTCCGACAACTGCTCCAACGTCACATCACACTTCTCTTCGATACGCGTCAAAAGCCTGGTTCCGCATCCCGCTCCGACTTAAGCCCGCAGACGAAAACCAGACATTTAAACTGTTCTTCCGACTGCTTCGTAAGTTCGAACTCCACGCACGACTTATTTATCCGGCAAGCGTACGTGACATAGTCCTCTCCAGGCTGCTTCGAGATCTGTAGGCAGCGATACCTGCGGCTGACGACTGACTCGGATGCCCCGAACAACGAGGTTAGCTTCGACACCGTCTCCTCAAATGAAAAATCTTTCGGTGTTTTAGGTAAAATAAAGCTTACATACCTCTCGTGTTCGGACATTCCTAGCTTACGAATCAGCAAGCGTACTTTCGTCTCCTTGTCAAGACGACTGGCATCCTTCTCAAACAAATCTTCGTACCGCTTGTACCAAGCAGCGAACGTCACGCTGCCATCCGGATCGAAGTGGAACTCCTTGATGTGATTCGCAAGCGACTCCAATATCGCTTCCGGATTCGGTGGCACCTGCACCTGGATCGACGTCATAATGTTGCACATGAGCTGCTCCTGTTGCTTCATGAAGGCCAACTGCTGCTGTTGCATAGCTTCCTGCTGTCTCTGCATAACCTCTTGCTGTTGGCGGAACATTTCCGTGATGTAATTCTCCTGCTGGAACCGGTACATCTCGGGATCGATCTGAAGTGCAGGCTGGTGAATTTGCGGTGTACGTAGGAACGGAATCTGCTGCTGCTGATATTGTTGCTGGCCCGGCGACATATTCATCGACTGTTGGAGATCATGTCCGACGGCGCCATTCTGATAGGAATCCATTGTTCAACTTCCGCGTGGGCTACGTGCAAAAACGGTTTTAGCACGAAAAACACATTAAAATTATTCCGAAGTCGCCACTTTTGTATTCCCGCAGTTCTACAGGGTGGCCGACGTCCGCCAACTATTTTTGTGCTTGTGTGTGTCGATGCGCATGATGACATCGCAGGGTGACAGTCGAAGCTGCCACGTACGAGCCCAGCGGCGTACGAAGTAGTAGGGGTACTTCTCTAGGTAGTTGTCTCCAACTGATTTGTTCCGTGTAGTGTAAGCCTAGGTGTAAGCAGCAATAAGCGCGAGTCCTTGACAGCTCATCATCATTTCAGTGTCAACATTTCAAAGGGGCGTAATTGCTTTTATAAACAATGGCTTCTCCAAGTTAACAATGCTACCTAGTAGAGGAAACATTAATCTACCTGTTGATGTCATAAATTTTTATGAGTGAGCTTTTATTCGCGAGAAATCGATGGCTAAAGCCATTGTTTACAAATGTAATTACGCCCCTTTGAAATGTTGGCACTGATTATGTTTGTCACGCAAATTTGTCCCATTTTGAATCCCCCTCCCCCTTTTGTCACATTTTTTGTATGGACTTTAATTTTTTTGTATGACTCGTAACAGTTTCCAATACCAAATCTGGAACCCAGGTGCAAACGGTGGTCGTTCGTAGCCCTCAGGTATCGGAGGACTCTCTTGGTTTCGGTCCAATCGCGGTTGGTAGGATTGGTGACATTCCTTCCCAGCAGTGAAACGGCCACGCAGATGTCTGGCCGAGTGTTGACCGCGACGTAGAGCAAACTGCCCACCAAACTGCGGTATGACGTGTTTGTAGGCAATTCATGCTCCTCCTTTTGCTTGAGGACAATCGATGGCTTCGCCTGGTCGTGTCCGAATCGACGAATCAGCTTGTCGATGTAGCTTGCTTGATCGAGAGTGTAATAATCGCCATTCATCTTCACGTGAATTCCCAGGAAGTGTTTGTGTTCGCCTAGGCAGGAAAGCTTGAAGTGTTTCTGCAGCTGTCGGCGAATCTGCTCGAATTCTTCCTCGGAGTTGCAGACGAGGACCATATCATCGACGCATATCAGGATGTACGTCTGTTTCCCGTTGCAGTTCCGGATGTTCAGGCACGCATCGGCGTCCGCCTGGCGGAAAGCCATGGACTTGAAAACTCCGTAGATTTTCTTATTCCATGCTCGAGCGGACTGCTTGAGCCCGTAAATGCTGCGCTTGAGATGACATACCATACCGTTGTCTTGAACGAAGCCAGGCGGTTGCTTCATGGAGGTGTCCGCGTACAGGTAGGCACTCTTTATGTCGAGGTGCTTAACCAACATCCTCTGCTTGCTGGCCAGTACGAGGACCATTCGAAGGGTAGTCTGACGAACGACGGGGGCGGAAACCTCGTTATAGTCCTGGCCGAATTTCTGTGCGAATCCTTGTGCGACTAATCTCGCTTTGTGTCGCACCACTCGTCGGTGTTCATCCTCCTTCTTTTTGAACGTCCATTTGCAGCCCATCGCCTTGCGACCCGGGGGTAGTGGAGCGAGCTCCCAAGTGCCATTGTCTTGAAGTGCTTCAATCTCCTCCTGCATCGCAGCTTGCCACGCGACCGCTTCGGTGCTTTCGATCGCTTCGGAGTAGCTTTGGGGTTCTTCGCTTGCATGCTTCGTTACGCTGGTAATATTATCGAAACGCTGAGGCGGAATGCCTTTCGTCGCGCGTGTCGATCGCCTTGGTGCCTTTGCTTCCTTGTTAGTTTCTTCTCCGAGTAGAGGATCTTCATCGCTGAAATCGAGAAACTCATGATTGAATGTCCCCTTCGACCGCCGAATCGTAATCTTCTTCCGTTTCTGGTCGGTCTTCGGGTACGTTCGGGTTTCGTTGTGAAAACAGATCGAATTCCACGTCTTCACCGTTGCCTGCATTCGACTCTTCCGTTGAATTGGTGTCCGCGCCGTTCTCGATGAACTTGACATCCCGGCTCACGTAGATCTTTCGCGTGGCTTTGCCGACGAAGCGATAAGCTTTGTGTTCCGACGAATAGCCCACGAAAGTCAGCTTCTGTGCTGTTGCGTCCAGCTTCTTCCTCTTCACCTTCGGGATGTGAACCCACGCAGCGCAGCCGAATATTTTCAGGTGATCGACCTTGGGTTTCACGCCGTTCCAAAGCTCGTAAGGTGTGGCGTCGAGGGGTTTTGTTGGCGAAACGTTTTGGAGATATACGGCCGTGTTTAGCGCCTCTGTCCAATATCGCTGTTCCAGCTGTGCATCGAACAACATGCACCGTACCATTTCGATGAGGGAACGGTTCTTCCGTTCCGCGATCCCATTTTGTTGTGGGCTGTAGCCGGCGGTGTGTTGGGGTGTGATTCCTTCACGCTTGTAAAATGAACGCAACTGCTTCCCGCTATACTCGCCGCCCTGATCGGAGCGGACGCAAACGCGACATACCTACTCCTCGATTTTCGTGGCGACCTCCGATTTCATGTCTGACGGCGCCATTCTGATTCTAATCCATTGTTCAACTTCCGCGTGGGCTACTTGCAAAAACGGTTTTAGCACGAAAAACACATTAAAATTATTCCGAAGTATTCGTGACAGTCAAAGCTGCCACGTACGAGCCCAACGGCGTACGAAGTAGTAGGGGTGCTTCGCTAGGTAGTTGTCTCCAACAAAAAACACCGAAGATTTGCATTTCTGACCAGGAAGCTTGATGGAGACTTTGTCGTTTCGTACGAATACAGACTGGACGGTTCCTTCCTGTTTTAGTCGTAGTGCGTGATTACGAATGTGGTAAGTTTGAATCGACAACATCTCGTTAACCGTAGAACGGTATTATAGTCACGCAGCGGATTTGAGGTTACACAGATTTGCTAACAATCAATACGAAACTAACGATTTTAAATTGGCTCACTAGCCTATTGGTCCCAAGCAATTCGATTAACGTACCCCATTCTAGTAAAAATTCTAGTACAACACAATGTTTGTTTTGATTCGCTATGAAAGTTTGACAGATAAAATGAGGAGTTAGTGGATTTTCCTATGTTTCGAGGGGTGAATCGATTAGCTTGAGACCGAAGATAGTACCAGAGCTGAGCCAAATAGTTGAGCACGTTTTTTCGGGACCTACTAGTCTTAGAGTTTGGTTTTGTCTCTTTGTGTTCCCAGAAGTAGCGTTTGAGAGCCAACGATTTCAACTCTATGCTGTCGAAAGCAACCAGGATTGTTGGGGTGAGCGTCTATGAGCCCCTCAAAAAGGAATCAGCACTGTCAGAAATGACGTTTGACTTAGATTTAGGTGGGCTACAGTTCAACTATCGGGAGCCCACTTAATGCTAGTCCAACGAGCGAAATTTGACTGTAATCTAAAGTCAATCAATGACACCAATATTTTCAGTGTAAAAAACGTTCTTGACACCGCTAGGTGGCACTATTAAATGCATTTGAAATTGTTCTGTTTTCGAATCAAAGATAAGCTTCCTTCCTGCTAATAGTCTATCCACAAAATGTTAGTATTCAATGTATTAAAAAACTACAATGGACAGCCCTATGGGGTTTTACGCAACAGTTGCACATTAGTGCAATTTTCAATAGTGAAATCTTGAAAAATTATAAAGTCTTAATTTTAACAGATGCGTAGAAATATATCTGATCGATTGGTGATAAAATTATTGAAATTGGTCCAAGGGCAGCTGAGTTACTATCGTTCAAAATCTTTCATAATTTTGTTACATGTTCCATTTTCGGTTTTCACAAAGTGTACCCCCATATAGAAATCACAGACGTAGTCCTACGTCAAACGAACTCTTTTCTTCATTGCTCACATAAATAATACGTAACATTCTCCCTCATCCTTCCCTCCAGGACTGTCAGCGGATAATCCGGCTGAAATCGCTGAACGCCAAAACCGACCCGGCCGTCCTGGCGCGGGAAGTGGTGGAAAAGTGCGACCTCATTCACAAGTCCCAGCTGTCCGACATCGAACAGATCATCTACTACTTGAAGAACCGTAAGAATGTCGAAAGTCCGGCAACCGGAACCGGTGCCACCGCTACCGGTCATCGATCGGCATCGCGTACGTCCGGTGCCGGCGGTGGTGCCACTGGGATCGGAGGTGGAAACGCTCCCGGCAAGGCAAGTGTACACGAAGCGGAAAAAGCCACCATCAGGAACATAGACGAGTACATTGAGCTGCTGTACGAGGACCTGCCGGAGAAGATCAAGGGATCGAGGCTGATTCTGCAACTAGCCCGGGATCCGGACAATCTGGGCGAGCTGGAGAAGAATGGTGAGTAGTGGCAACAAGCTATAGGAAACGTCGTAATTTATGCGTGCCTTTGCACGCTGAATGCGTTCGAGCGATTAGCATTTTACATTGCTGCGCTTATCGCGAGCCGTTGATCATTGCGATTTTAAAAAGTAGTTTAACGTTAGAGTTCGGACGAAAAGAGAAAGGTACTGTAAAAGAGTAAAAACACAACAGTGCCGCGATGAGCCGGTTACATGATCGCGATGCTCGTCAAAAGATCACCCGAAAAGAAGGTGGTGCGTCGCTGTGTGTGGCAACTACAAAGCGATGGCATTTGAAGAAGGAGGTGAATGTCCACAAAACAAACCCACCAATAATGACAATGAATCGATCACTAGAGTTGGGCTTGTTTGGGTATGCAATAAATAAGAGAAAAATCGCGATCGATTGATCTTGACCTCGTTACCCAGTGAGCCGTGATCGTTGGAGATCTTGTTTTCTGTTTTTCTGATTTAATTAGCAGGAGTGTCGTTTTTCTTTGTGTTTTGCAGAGGCTGTTCTGAGTGCCCTTTCGCGGGTGCTTCGCGAAGACTGGCGCCGATCGTTGGACCTTTCCACCAATATAATCTACATCTTTTTCTGCTTTTCAACGTATACTAATTTCCACTCGGTGATTGTTAACTACAAGGTGAGTTTGGGTTCGGTGTATTTTAGAAACTAAAATTTCACTGATAACGTCAAATTTTAGATCGGTTCCCTGTGCATGGACGTCATCGACTACGAGCTGCGTCGGTACGATCAGATGAAGACCGACTTGGATGCCAGGAAGAGTACTGGTGGTGGTGGTGGTGGTGGCAGTGGTGAGAAGGCAAAGGAGAAAGAGAAGGAAGTCAATAAGAGTGCCGAGTACTTGGACACGATCATCGATCAGGAGAAGCCCAAGGAGATGGAACCTCCGCGGAGAAGGATACCGGAGCTGAAGCAACGGCCCAAGTCCGGCAACTGGGCTAGCTATCACGGAAGCATGAGTTCCTCGCTGATCAAAGCACATTCTATGAACAATAGCTATCACGAACAGCTGAATAAGGAAACCACGGCTTCCAATGATAGCCTCGATAACCAATCCCCGGAAAGCGAGAAGCCTGATCCAAAGAAGCAGAAAGACGACTATGACAAAATCAACAAACAATTCAAGATCTTTGCCAAGAAGCAAGAACAGCTCCTGAGGGTAGCATTCTACCTACTACTGAACATTGCAGAAAATGTCAAACTAGAGGAAAAGATGCGCAAGAAGAATATCGTTAAGATGCTGCTGAAGGCGTTGGAGCGGCAGAACTTTGACCTGCTGGTCCTGGTCGTGACGTTTCTGAAGAAGCTTTCGATCGTTCGCGACAACAAGGACGAAATGTACGACCTGAACATTGTGGAGAAGCTCCCGCGTCTTTTGCAGTCGCAGAAAGACCTAGTGCAGGTGACGCTCAAACTCCTGTTCAATCTATCCTTCGACGCTCGGTTACGGGCGAAGATGATACGAGTCGGCTTCCTACCGAAGCTGGTTACGTTCTTGAGCGATGACAAACATCACGAGATAGTGACCAAGATCCTCTACCACATGAGTCTGGACGATAAGATCAAATCTATGTTTACCTACACGGATTGCGTCCCGGTCGTGACGGACATGTTGCTGTTGAACCTGAATCAGAAGTCCGATCCGGACCTGATTGCTCTGGGGATCAACTTGGCACTGAACAAGCGCAATGCGGCGATGATGATCGAGAACAACCGGCTGCACAATTTAATGTCCCGGGCATTCAAGTACCAGGACACGCTGATGATGAAGCTGATCCGGAACATCTCGCTGCACGAAACACTGAGGCTGCATTTTGTGGTGAGTTTTTTCTTTGTGGCGAATTGGATCGGGGATTTCGATTGTCGTTTGATTTCAGGACTTCGTGGGAGATTTGGCGAAAATCCTTACCGAATGCGATGACGAGGAGTTCACCGTCGAATGCTTGGGCATGCTGGGCAATCTGGCCCTGCCCGATCTGGACTACTCGCAAATCATTCACAACTTTAATCTTATTCCGCTGATCAGAAACATGCTGGTACCAGGTAGGAAGGGTTGAACTTTGTGTACCTTTCAAAGGGTAACTTCTAATTATCCAAACAGGTAAATACAAGGACGATTTGGTCCTGGAAACGGTCGTCTTCCTCGGCACTTGCGCGTCCGATGAATCCTGCGCTATGCTGCTGTGCAAAGCGGATGTGATTCTGTCGTTGATCGAGCTGCTAAAGGCGAAGCAGGAGGACGACGAGATGGTCCTGCAGATTGTGTTCGTGTTCCAGCAGGTCCTGCGGAACGAGAGCACCCGGGTGTACATGATCAAGGAAACGGAATCGCCCGCCTATCTGATCGATCTGATGCACGACAAGAACGCCGAGATCCGGAAGGTGTGCGACTTCTGCCTGGACATCATTGCCATCACCGACAACGAGTGGGCCTCGCGGATCAAGGTGAGGCGGGTGTAGGTTGTTGGTAACCGGATGATGATTGTTAAGTTTGAACTGTTTTTCATGCCAGTTGGAGAAATTCCGGAACCACAACTCCCAATGGTTGAGCATGGTGGAAACGCAGGAGGAAACGGACGACGTCCAGGACTATGGCCCGATGGACGACGATGATGGGGATTTGCCGGCGTATCTGACGGCGGACTACCTGGACCAGTGTATGCTGTATCAGTCCGGGGAGTCGAACGACGATGGCGAGGGCAACAACCGGTCCACTTCTGCCATGTCCAACTACAGCAGACCGATGAGTCGGTAAGTGGTGATAAATTTTTTTTCGATGGCACATTGTGTTCCAAGAGAATTACACTTCCAACACTTCTCCTTAATTTTGAAATTGAAGAGCTCAATTTTGTAAAAATTATGCTTTCTGCTAATTACTACATACACATTTCAATACTTCCCTCGGATCAATGTACTAATGATTCCCTAGGTGAACTCTTCCGGGCTCTCGACAAAAAACGGGGCTTTTCTGCGGGTCCTGATTGTATTGGGTATCCCATGCTCCAACGGCTTCCTACCTCAGTGAAAACCGCGCTTCTAGAGTTGCTGAATCGCATTTGGAGACTTCCCGAACAATGAGACCGGACCTGCTGCTTTTCGGCCGATTACACTTATAAATTACATGTCCAAAGTCTTCGAAAGGATGGCTAGCAGATGACTTATTACGGAATTAGGATCAGAAGAAAGGTTTGATAAACGCCAACACGCTTTCCGATCCGGCCACTGCACCGACACGCATTTCGCCGAACTTGAAAGCTACCTACATGCAAAGGACGAACATTGCATAATCGCGTCTTTGGACTTGTCCAAAGCCTACGACACCACTTGGAGACACTTGGACACTGAAGCAAGGTAGCTGTAAGAGGACATCACTCAGGCCTATATCCACTGGCGAACGGAGTCCCACAAGGTTCTGTATTGTCTGTCACATTGTTCCTCGTGGCAATGCAACCTATGTTTCGTGTGGTATCAAATGCGGACGACATCTTATTGGTTGCTCAGCTCTTAGGACGGAAACTACAGATTGGCTGTCAACACGGTAGTAAAATGGGCGAAAAGCATTGGATTTTGTATATCGGCGAATAAATCAAACATCTTCTACGGTAGCCCCAAGGCTCGTCAGCAGCCTAAGAAGGACATAATCATCGACCGAATTCCAGTTCCAAAAACAAAGCTGCTTAAAATTTTAGGAGTCACACTGGATCGGACCTTCAACTACAAAGCTTACTGTACCCTGTCTGCTAAAAACTGCACCACGCGACTACGAATCTTGACAACGGTTGGAGCAAAGCTACCTCGAGGAGCACGACGTTCACTGCTACATGTAGGATCTGCGACCATCACGTCACGCCTCCTCTATGGAATGGGTCTAGTCAGGTCTAGTCATACTACCGGATGGTCAGACTCGCATCCGGAGCCTTCGTCACTAGCCCCACGCTTGGTATCATGGCCGAGGCTGGCGTTGCCGTACGACTTTCTGGTCCTACAGCACGACTAACGATTCGCCTTCTGGATGCTTCCGATCTCCTTGTTGTCCAAAGAACAGAAGAGCTTTTCACCGAAGAAACCAATGCAACTTTCCGCCAAATTTGCCAACGTCATAGGAACACAGACCACGAATGGCATGTTCCAAAATCAACGATCATCTGGGACGTCAAAAAGTATACTAGCACTCAACACTTCACGCAAGACGCAAATAACCATTCTAAAGGACTCTGCCAGTTGTTTATCTGCGCTGGAGGTGGGAAGATCCACAGTATCGAGGCGGCAATCCAATCCAAAAACGTTCAACTCTGCTGGATCCCCGGCCATGCAGGCATCCAAGAAAATGTTGTAGCAGACCGTCTTGCTGATGAAGCTAGAAACAACGTCCCACATGCTATCCAAATACCAGCCATGGACGCGATAAGGGAAGAAGTCAAACGTGCTGTACGACAACGATGGGACCTGATCGAGTCCGGGACAATGAACTCATCGATACTCAATGTCGGTCAGTTTTCACAGTTATCGAAAGTGCCACTCCAGTTGATGAGATATTCATTTTTGGTGACTTCAATCTGCCAGGCGTTTCGTGGAGTCCATCTCATAGCGGATTCCTGTATCCAGATCCTGAATAGCTCTACATTTCACGCAGGAGCTGTTAGCCTTCTCGACAACTACAGCGCAGCGGCGCTGTCTCAAATTAACCATGTAGTTAACGAAAATGATCGTAGTTTGGACCTCTGCTTCGTGAGCACACAGGACAAGGCTCCATCAGTTTCCTCGGCTCCTTGTGCACTAACTATCACCCTCCACTAATTGTCACTGTTGAGGACAATCTCGTGCGTGATTTCGACGACTATCCTGCTACGGTTTCTTATGACTTCCGTAAAGCTGACCACCATAGATGTATTGTCTGGCATGGTATGGGAGAACATCCTTGATCCAGATGACGTTGAGGCTGCAGCGCAAACCTTTCCACATGTCTTGGCATATGTCATTGACAGACACGTCCCGAAAAGAACTCACTACAAAGTGTCTCACCCTCCCTGGCAGACGCGAGAGCTACGTAGGTTGAAGTCAATCAAGAGAGCAGCATTGAGAAGATTTACGAAGTATTGCACGCTTCCTCTGAAACTACATTATGTGAGGCTGAATCACATGTACCAGCGAGTCAGTCGTGAATGCTTTTCAAGTTTCCAACGAGGCATCCAGCGCAAACTTAAGCTACACCCGAAATCCTTTTGGAACTAAGTGAACGAGCAACGTATGGAATCGGGCCTCCCATCGTCTATGGAATTCAACGGAGAACGTTCCAATAAATGATCAAACGCTTCTAGTCTCCCTACGTCTGTAAAAACTCAGTTTTATAAATCTGAAATATTGAATAACTTCCCCAACTCTTTGGAATAGTACTGGTGAAGACATGTGAAGACATTTCGTCAATCTCGGGGAAGATTTTTACAAAATACACCTGCCATCTCTGCTTGCACTGAACGAAACCCGAATCCTCAAACACCCAACTAAATCGTCTCAATTTTGCACCTTATTCCAGCTACAGTCGTGACTTCGAGGACTTCGAGGTGGTCACTTAAAGCACTGACCGCGACCGGCTTGCACCATCGAACCGTACTGACTACTTACAATATAGCAAATGAAGCAAACGGTACATAACATGACAAACTTACAAACTAACGATACAACAAGGAAAAAGAAAAAAGAAACACACTGGAGGCGAATGTTGAAAGCTAACGAGGCTGCTATTAGATTGGATGTGCTACTTCGCGCCGAAGAACAAATAACAAATATGCTATTACAATGTTGGTATTATTAGATTCCTACGACGATGCATCATAGAGTTTTTAAACGTATAAAGCAGAAAGTATTTATATAGTCTCACAGATCAAAACAACCGATTCCTAGGTCATGAAACCCAGATCAGCTAGAGCTCAGCCTTAGACCGTGTTAGAATTAGTAGCATCAGCGCTGCCCTTCTTTTGCTCAGCCTCGTCCTCCGGCCTCCGCGAATATTTTTTTGAACTAAATCTCCATCGTTGGATCTCTCCCGTCTTAGGTGCATGCTAGTAGTTAGTGTGTTTCAGCTCAATAGCACTGCGCACCCAATCCTTTTTCCCATCAATTTGAACACAAAATCACGCTTGACAATTGCTGCTTTATAGTGGAAAAAAAACGGAGTTTTGATACTCAAACAATTCGAATCGAAAATCTGTAGTTTAACTTTCCCCCACCCTTCATAGTTTACTTAGATAGGCGCGTGACGGTGATCGTGCAATCGATCACCCTAGGTATAGGGATGTTAGGGAACGAAGAAACAGAGTGTGCGAACTGTAAAACAATATATTACGTCTAGTCTTCTTTGAGTTGTGATAAAGTGATTCCAGTTTTTGTTTTGTTTTTAAGTTATCCCTATTGTTTTCGCCATCACTGAGTTGGTTCTGTTTTGGATTATGTTTACCTTTCGGCTTGATGAGTTGAGGTAATCCGGATACGTTATACGCTTTTTCGTTCTGAAATAAAGGTTCAACTCAAATGCTTTAGTTGCATATTCTGTAACCGCATCATTAACAAATTTTAACCCTAGGATAATATGTTTAAGAACTACATGTACGGATTCAAAGACAAAGGAAAACCAAAAATGCGACAAAAATAGAGTATATATAATAATTTTAAAAACTTGCGGCGGGCATCTCTCGAATGTAGGAAATATCACATCCTTGCGCGATGAAGCCACTTCTGCCGGGTTTGGTTTGAAATTTCTTCGGCTTGGGGCACATTTAACAGAAATTCTCTTCAACACTAGGATTGGCGCGGGCACTTACGAGACGCTCGGAATACACACCTCGCAAATCCGAATTAGCGTTTAAAGAGAGGCCCCTTTCTTGAACTTCACTTGTATATATCACACTCCTCTAATTGATAAGAGAGCAAAAAGCCTATTCAAAATTCTCTACTCTCGTTATCCGAACGCTAGCTATTGATCGCAAGTGATCGAGTGACATCAATATAGTTCTTATATACTAAGGAGAATTCATTGCTAGGGTTTGCGTTAACAGCTAAGTTCATAACATGCTTCAAAAATACACATTATTTGACATTTTGTTGTAAAAATATAAGAGGTTGTATCCAAGACACGACTGTAGATTTACCAAAGATAGTTTTGATGTCAAATCGTTAACACTGCAAAAGTTCGATAGGTTGAAATTCAGAAGCAATTTGAGAGTTATGTTTATGAGGTGCTCTATTGGTGTCCATGTAGCCAATCCTGGACGATTTGTCTTGGATACAAGCTCTTACTTGAACTCTTAATTTAATTCTTTTATGTGTTATGTTAAGGGTCCTGTGCACCACCAGCGGTGCAAAGGGCCAATGTGAAAGACTTCCATCCTGGGCGGCTGCTCGCTTTTGCCTTGACTTAGATTCTATCGACTTGCTTAATTTCCTTATTGAGGCTCCGCCGCCATGAGCCCCTGGGTCTGCCTCTGCTGCGATGTCCTGCTGGATTCCAATCCAGCGCCTGCTTGCAGATTTCGTTTCCGCCCCGTCGAAGTGTGTGGCCGACCCACCTCCACTTTCGCTCTCGAATTTCTGTTGCTATCGGCTTCTGATGACATCGACGATGGAGCTCGGCATTCGAGATCCAGTTGTGAGGCCACCAGGCACGAATTATATACCGCAGGCATCGGTTGATGAAGACCTGCAGCTTTTGAGTGTTCCCCGCTGATACACACCACGTCTCGCTGGCGTATAACAACACAGATTTCACGTTCGAGTTGAAAATTCGGATTTTGGTGCGTTGACTTATCTGGTTCGTAAACTCGCAAAGGCAGCCCTAGCCTTCTTGATTATTGGATATTGGAAACTTTCGACCTTCTCCACTGCTTGCCCCGCTACCGTAAAGTTGGAAGGGTTGCCCGTGTTGATATCCAACGATTTGGTCTTGTTGACGTTGATGGTGAGACCCGCCGCAGAGGAGCGTTCGGCTAGGTCATTGAGCTTACTCTGCATATCAGAGCGCCGTTGTGCTAGTAGAGCAACATCATCAGCCAAATCGAAGTCGTTGAGATGATCCATGGTGATAGCCCTAATAAAAAATAACCATAAACGAATGATAACCCAAATCATTGAACTATTCCATAAATGGTTTGGATGATACCCAGAACACGTCGTTAAGCAAATTAACCATACAATTTTTATTAGGGAGGCTGCCAAAGCAGCCCACGGTTCGGTACACGGTCAATTGCACCTACCATGATCTAGTCGATTACGATGAGAAACAGTAGCGGTGATAGTATACATCCTTGTCTCACACCAGCGACTATCCGGATAGGGTCGGACAAGGTTCCGTTATGCAGAACTCTGCACGTGAAAGCCTCAGACTGCGCTTCGATGAGGTTGACGATTTTATCCGGGACTCCCTTGCGTCTCAGGGCGCCCCACAGATTCTCATGATTGAGACGGTCGAAAGCTGTTTCGTAGTCAATGAATACCAAATAAAGGGACTCTTGGAATTCATTGACCTGCTCCAGGATGATGCGGAGCGTGACAATATGGTCCACACAAGATCTTCCGGCACGGAATCCTGCCTGCTGCCGTCGGAGAGTCGCGTCGATCTTCTCCTGTATCCGATTCAGGGTAACTTTGCACAGAACTTTGAGAACAATACACAGTAACATGATGCCTCGCCAATTGTCGCACACAGTCAGATTCCCCTTCTTTGGGACCTTCACTAAGATGCCCTGCATCCAGTCGGCCGGAAAAGTCGCGGTGTCCCAGATATTACAGAATAGTTGATGCAACATTTGTGCGGATAGCATGGGGTCAGCTTTGAGCATCTCTGCTGATATGCGATATACCCCTGGAGCCTTGTTGGATTTCATGCTTCGGATAGCTGCTTCAATCTCCTGCAGTGATGGGGCCTCGGAATTGACACGAGTGATGCGCCGCACCCTAGGCGGATCATGCCGAGATGTTGATGGCTGGTTGGCCGCCGAAACTTGAAGAAGTTGTTCGAAGTGCTCAAACCAGCGTTTCAGCTGGTCAGTGGGGTCGGTAAGCAATTGTCCAGTCGTGTCCTTCACTGGCATCCTCGGTTTCATCCTTGCTCCACTCAGGCGTCGTGAGATATCGTAGAGGAGGCGTATATCGCCAGTGTTTGCGGCTTTCTCCCCTTCGTCGGCCAGGGAGTTCACCCACGCTCGCTTGTCCCGTCTGCAAGAGCGCTTGACTTCCTTCTCTAGAGCCGAGTACCGTTGACGGGCTTCGTTCTTGGCTCCTCTGGTTCTCGCCCGCTCTATCGCGGCTTTTGCTTCTCTACGCTCCTCAATCTTCCGCCAGGTTTCATCTGTGATCCACTCTTTCCTCTGGAACGTCCGCAGCTCGAGTCTCAAGTTCATGAACAAAAGACCTTTTTACCGCTGGATCTTCAAGTCGGCGTGTGTTGAACCGCCGCCCGAGTCTCTCCTCCCGTCGCTGGATCCGCGCCATGCGTAGGCGGATTTTACCGATTAGAAGGTGATGGTCAGACGCGATGTCGGCGCTGCGTTTATTCCGGACATCAAGAAGGCTCCGTCTCCATTTTCGGCTGATGCATATGTGGTCGATCTGATTCTCGGTATGTCCATCACGGGAAACCCACGTGACTTTGTGCACTGGTCGATGGGGGAAGAGCGAGCCCCCGATCACCATGTCGTTATTGCCACAAAATTCTGCAAACAGCTCACCGTTCTCGCTCATTTCGCCGAGACCATGGCGTCCCATGACACGCTCATAGTCCGTGTTGTCGGAGCCGATCTTCGCATTGAAGTCGCCAGTGTAGATCTTGATGTCACCCTTTGGAACTTTATCCACGACGGCATTCAGTTGACTGTAAAAATTCTCCTTGTCCTGTAGCTCGGCAGCATCGGTTGGCGCATAACATTGGATTATGGTAAGGTTACGAACCCGTGTTCTAAATCTGGCAACGATTATCCTCTCATTAACAGGCTCCCACTTGATGAGCGCAGCACTTGCCTGGACGCTAAGTAGGAGACCAACTCCACGATGGCGGGGAGCGTTTTCACCTCGAATACCAGAGTATAGTAGTACCTGTCCCGACGGCAGTTTGTGTTCTCCAAAGTTTGGCCAACGAACTTCACTCAGTCCCAGGATTTCTAGCTTCATGCGTCGCGCCTCGTTGGCGAGTTGTGCCAGTTTACCCTGCTGGGCTAACGTCAATACATTCCATGATCTAATTCGTGTCCGTTGTTTTGCGCTAAAAGTCATTGCCGTTAAATCAGTTCGATGTCTTTCTCTGTTGGTTTCTGTAACAATTGTAAAGGTTTCAGAGACAGTAGGTGGTTGGCCTAAGGTCTCCTATCCGCCGTGATGGGGCTGCCATCTTAGGTGTAGCTTCCGGGGAAGATCATTTCTTATTCAGCCGCTGGATGCCAGTCAGACGCTGTTTTATGTGTGGTCCTGAAAAAGACCAATGGGTTGAAAACTTGCAAGCCAGTTAAGAACAATGCTGTGGACTTATTTCCTCGATGTTCTTGGAGATGATAGCGGTGCGTTGCACATGGACCGATTGGTGAACATTTTGGTGAAGGGCGATGATGTTATTGGCGAATTAATACGTTACAAACAATGTACTAGGGGAAACGCTCCTATACTTGCGGTACGTTAGAAGCGTTAGGTTCCTATAGTTGTGCATGGAGACTCAATACACAACTATAGGAACCTAACGCTTCTAACGTACCGCAACTATAGGAGCGTTTACCCTATACATGTTTGTTTCAAAGGGATAGTCAAGTGTTCTACCTTGTCTTGAAGACTCTTCTCCAGCATCCCAACCAGTAGATAAAGCAATGTTGTCTCTAGTCGTTCTGATTCTGTCTCGGTAACATAGATTTCTTTCAGCAGCAGTTTTCGGCTGTTTCTTCGGATCTTTGTCCGCTTGCAGTTCCTTTACGCGCTTGTATTGTGTAGCCAAATGCTGCAACATGGCTATATGAATAAACTCGCAAACAATTTCTCAAATATCAATTCGCCCTACAATTGCAGAAATTTGAAGAGATTAAAGTTATTGGGAGTAGGCAATGAGAACGTCCTGGTTCGGTTGACGGTTAGAAGTAGAATGAAAATTTATTGTCGCATATAATAACTAGCCTACTGATGTAGACGCAGCTTACTGATCTTCAACACTCCTGGCGTCTTCAAATATGCGATCCCATTGCTCTTTGGTTGCGTTTAAGCTTGACTCGCTGAAGTGGCTTCGTCAAACCATCTGCAACTTGGTCTTCGGTTTTGACGTAGTTGAGTTTGATAGTTTTCCGGTCCAACGCATCACGGATGTAATGGTGCCGGATATCTATGTGTTTTGTCCGGGGTGTGTATCCGCCGTTCCGCGCGATACAAATTGTACTTTGGTTGTCACAGCACAACTCGATTGGATCTTGTTCGCCAAACTACGACACCAGTCCTCGCCACCATGACGCCTCTTGTACCGTAGCAGCAACGCCATGTACTCCGCCTCACACGTTGAGAGAAATACGGTAGTCTGTCGCTTACTGCACCAGGATACTGCTCCTCCTTGCAGCAGGAATACGTATCCACTCGTTGACCTTCTGTCGTCAAGATCGGGCGCCCAGTCCGCATCAGAATAACTAACGAGCTTGGAGTCACCGGTCGCATAATAC